GCCCTTGTATTTACACTTCATGCAAAAAGGTGTTGTCACCCTACCCCTGTCCACCCCCATTCTTTGTTCAATCAGAGATGCTCTGTTGAACATATGTAAAGTGCAAAGCATCATATAGGTTATATGGGATGTCACTAGGAATGCGGGGGTGGTGGGGTGGAGGAAAAAAGCTTTTTTCCAATCCAGCTACAAATTTATAAAAACTTCTTCCTGGCCAATTAAATTTAAACTCCATTCTGGAAAAATTTATTCAATTTTACTAAGCTCTTAGGCTGTTCTGACACAATATCTTGAACCTTGCTCATGGGCGTGGATGCAGTAGACCCACTGTCATTCTTTTATTTCTATCTGGAAGAGTTTCCGGGCCTAACCCTCCTTTCACAGAGGGGGCTATTTGACAGCATCTTAAATAGCTGTTGCTGGAAGAAACCAAACTGCCTTGCTTAAGTTTAGATGCTCCTTTGACACCTTTACAAATTGATTTAACATTTCAAAGTGCTAGTATTTCTGCTGGGAGCAAGAATTCATGAATAGTTTTGCTGAAAGAGCCAGTGCTAAAGAGGGCAGACTATGCAACTGGGAGAGAGGGCAGGAGGAGGCAGATGCCGGACATCCCCCCTTTTCCCAGCAGTGAGTCACTAAATCATTTCAGCTGCTACTAAAACGATGGGCTCCAGGTAAAGAATAAGGCTTAGCTGTTGCCCATATTAATGACCTGAGCGTCACAATTCATACTTGGAGCCTGAGTTAATAGATAGAAGCAAAGACAGAAAAATAGTGTTTGTGTTCTCATCCAGCTTGGATGTACTTATTATTTCTTTTTCCCAGGGTTGTCAGATTCTTGTAAGAGACTAATAAAGTGGTTAAGATGGAAGAGCAGTCAGAACTCTCCGTACTTGTTTTTGCTGCCCATTATGTGACCTTGAACAAATAATTATAAAATTCCACGAATGCTTTAGACTATTATAGGTAGTCGGTGTTCTCCTTGTGGTTCCGCAAACAGTCCAGACCTTATGTTAACAGCAGTGCACCTCTTTCTTGCTTTGACTTACTAACTTTTCTTCCCTTCCTCCCTCTCTCTCATCTCTGCAGTGATTTTTTTATTAATGGTACCAAGCCATCAAGAAACTGCAGTGTTAAAAAAATCTGCTTGCTCTGTCCTGCTTTTGTGGTGGGCACAGCTGTGGAGGAACTTGCACAAGTTTTAAACTAACTTATTTTTTGCCAGCTCTACCTTGGTTAAATTCTCTGACCCTCACTATGAAACTGCACAAATGCACAGGGAGATGTTGTGTGGGATGGGAACAAGTGTCTCAGATGCAGAAGGTGGTATTTTAGGTAGAGGTAGTGAAAGATTTAGGGTATCTTACTGTTGAGGGAACTTAAAGTGTGTCAGTTTCAGTCCTTTAAACCTCAGAAAACTTGACAGACTGTAGAGTTCTGGGATCATCTGATAAAAAAGTAAAGTATTATCAAGGATGTTGATCAAAATACTTTATTCTGTAGCAGCCTTTCTTGTTTATGGCCTGTGGTAAATCTGGAGAGGTTCCCGGAAAGTCATTGAATGGGAACACTAGTCACATTAAACAACTGATAATAATTCTTCAGAATGATGAAAAAGGAGTGCTTTTCTTAAATAAGAAAAAAGACCCCTGACTTTTGAGAGAAGCTGGTCATTGCTGAGCGTGGATGGTTTTACTGCACTCAGTAGCAGCTCTGTTGAGATCCTGCTGGTGAATTTGCCAGTTTTGGGGCTGTGCAGGCGTGAGAGGTGAAACCTGATTGTAGTCTCTGCTCTCGTGATCTCATCTAAAACTTTCCTGATCAGCCTTGCTGTATATCTTTGAGATAGCTGTATGTTTGTAACCTGTGATATCTTTACCTCTAGCAGTGTTTTTAAAATACAAGCTGCTACTCGGGTTTTCTTCTAAGGGAAAATTAGTGGATCTCTTCTGGTTTGTAGTCATTTATTTTCAAGGTAGAAGGAGGCACTGATGTCTTTCACGTAGATGTCAGCATAGTTGCTGTGTAGCAGCTGCTTTTACTTAATTGCAATTTACACTGACAATTAAATCAAATGGTAACAAGGTCTACTGTGTAATTTCACTGCTCCATTGATTTTCTTGGGAAGTGCAAAGCACTAGGACAATTGTGGTAATCAAAATAATTATTGTGTCACAAACCTCCTAGAAGGAGCTGTTAAACCTGCTCTCCTACTCTGCTGAGCAATGATCCAGATACACCCTGGTGCAGGCTGCCTGTGCACTAAATTCAGAGCTGTTGGAAAAGTTAAATACCTTTTTAAATGAGACCAGTCCTGCTTGTCAGAGCTTACCTAAATCAGTGCCCTGCTGAAAAATAACTTTTTTTTTTCAGTAGGATATCTTATTAAGATGCCTGGTGTAGTGGCTGAGATCTTGAATATTGTGTTGCTGCTAGACTGTCAGCTGAGGAGACAGAGGTGACAATAATCTATACTCATCTGCATATTTTGCTGTTTTTTTTTTTTTTATGAAAGCACTATCAGCTTGCAAACACAGCTGGCCTGTTTTATGTGAGTCATGAGGCTGCCACAGCACTTGCGTTTTTTAGCACTTGTATTTTGATTTTTAAGCTGGGCTTTTTGGAATGGCTGTTCTGGTTGCACAGCATCTCATCTGTGGAGATCCCTCCTTCTCATGAAGATTTCTTGGTATTTTTACAGAAATACCGAATAGCTAAAACTTTAATGAGAAGTGAGTACTTTTCCCCACTTCATCAAAAAGAAAAAGGAAATGAAAGAACTGGGGATTATTTACAGCTACTATGTTCAGTGTAAAGTGTATTGGATCACTCCTCCATGAAGAGTTGCTTTTGCAGTTTGAAATGTGCTGATACCTCACAGTGATGTGCTTTTCGCTTGGCTTGTAGAAGTGCCAGGCTGTATGTAGCTCCGCACATATTTTAAGTTTAATTTAGGCGAGCCTGTCTTCCTTTGGCTGCTTGTTGCTGCATTTTCCCCTCTTTCATCGGCACAGCTGCTTGTACAGCCGCGTTGTGACCCATATTGAGGAGCTGATCTGGTGAAACTAACCCAGGAAAAGAGAGAGGTGGTTAGTTTTTATCCAGATTGGTTCCCCAGTGGGATTCACGGAGCACAAATGCTTGTTTATGGTGGTACAAATGAGGAGGGTGATGCAGCGGCGTGAATAAGCAGCAGGGTGATTTGGCTGATGCTGGTGATAGCTGAGCTACAACACAGCAGGGTTTTTGTTTTGCGGATTCTAACATCTCGAGCAAAAATGGTATGAAATCCATAGGAGGTAACAGTTAATAGAGATTTGAAAATTCCCTTGAAATAATACTTATTGTCACAGAACAGCTGCGAGCTCTTGATGAAGAATTTTAGAGCCTATTTGGGTTGTCTTTTGGATATGTCTTTGTAGCTGATGGTCTCCTGGCTAAAGCTAATTACTTTTGGTCAGGAGAGGTTAAGTAGCTCTGAATGCTGCCTCTGTAGAGTTCTGGGGAAATCTGAATAATGCAATATAATATCAGTGACAATGTAGTGGGCAAACTGGAAGGTTTATTTTCAGGATCTGAGTCCCTTTGTCATCGTGACCTCAGACTAAAGAATGTGAGCAAGAAAATTGTCCGTGTAATTGGAAACTTGTTCCCTGTCGGCTAGGCTAAATGGCCAAGTAATGGGACAGAAGGGAGGAGGAGAGGGGTGACTAAGTTGGAGATGTAAATAGACATTAATTACCTGTTGTGTGTTGAGTCCTGAACTGTGGTGTGGTTTCACAACACCAGATTTAATGTTCCTCTTCCAACTGGTTTGGGAGAAGCGAGACACTAGACTTCGGGATAAATTCCAGATTTTGAAGGGTGCAGAGAAGTCACAAACCATGGAGATAAGGGCGCCACTCTTGTCCAGAGATTCAGGTGTAAGTTTTGGCTTTTTCCAAACCTCATTGCATATGGTGAAAGATGAGAAGCTTGTTTGGCTTTGCTTGAGGGCTGCTTCGTTGTTACACACTACTTAAACGTGACACAGTTAGTTTGCAATCCTGAAAAGATCTGGAGAAAGTCGCCCTCTTGGTTAGATGCTATGTGGGCTATTCTTCTTGGGTTGTAAGGGGTTTAAAAAAAAAAAAATGAAGGGCGGAATGAGTATGGTAGATGATTGATTTGTATGCTACTGAAGTTAATTAATGGAGAGATATGGCACATAAAACCCTTAAATCATTTTTGTAGGGAGTGCAATGTATGTTCAAGGCCATTTCTTAAGGAGTGCTTAAGGTTAGATTTCACAGCTTTAAGCTTAGACTTGAAATAATATACAAGGTCCATATAGTTTTTAAGTGGGTCTTAATCTTTCTATTAATATTTTTGATGCCAGTTTCTAACAAAATAAGACGATGTAGTTCTGCAATTAAGCATCTTAGAAGCGTGGTGTTTTTTTTTTCTACAATTTTTTATTGCATGTATATACTAGAGGTATCTGGGCATCCCATCTCAGGCTCTGGTTTCAGTCTAACTCATAAACAGACTTTGCAGGAATGAATCCACCGGTGGTTTTGAGTCTCTCATGTGAACAGAAATTTAATATTCCTCTTACATATTTCCAGGAAGAAAAATTAATCTATCACTTAAGTTATATAAAATGTCACATTGTGTTTCCAGAAACAGATGATGGCCTTTCAGCTTGTGTTAAAAGCCTTTTAGGACAAGCTGCAAACAGAAAAGTTGTCTTTTGGTTTCAGAAACATTTTTAAATCCCCTTTTGGTTAACGCGAGAGTATTTCTTTTAAGGTGGATCCAGACTGACAAATGAACAAGCTTTTGGGGGAAAAGAAGTATGCTGTAAAATGAACTCTGTGGTAAAAGGATGCACTAAACCAGTTGTTTGAGGCTTGTAGGTGGTTTGTGGTGATCCAGCAAGGACGGGGAGCTATTTGTCAACACCTCCATGGTAGATGGGGGAGACACTGGTAGGTTGAGAGATTGATTGAGAGAATATGACGCTGAAGGATTTGGTGAGAACTTTATATATTGGAAGTGGCAGTTTGCTGACTGCTAAGCTCATGATAGTCTGTTTTAAGCATCCAGGGGTTTTCAAAGTTAAAATAAGAACTATGGCTAAGCAATGATTTAAGAGTGACTGGACAGTCCTACAAAATTGCTTTGATAATTAAATTTAACAATAAGATAGTCTTGTTAAATATTTGCCAAAGATCAAGGGCCTTGTGTGCTTTGAGCTGAGGATTTTTGCCACAGCTATTAAAGCTGTTTGGCATTTAAGGATGGGGGATTGATTCAATCTGATGATTTTTCATTCGAGATACAGTATTGCAGAAAACTAATATAGTGTTGGAGTTTGAAATCAATTAAACTAAAGATTTTACTGACATATTCCAGTGTACTCAATCCAAGAGAAAAGGACTTGGTTAGCCAGGCAGAAGGTAGCTGACAGCCATCACAAATTTGACTGTGCTCTTAATTTTCCGTGAAAATCTAGATACGTCTTTTTGATGTATTTTATTTGAGGTTGTTACAGCAGTTTCCAGGATTACTGTAAATTCAGGAAGCTTTGTTCAGCCAGTTACATATGGCTCTGGATTAGGTGGTAGTTTATTTTGGAGCTCTTTGTCCTCTAGTGCTTGTTGAAAATAGTTTTGGCTAGGAAGCGTTTCCAATGGGATGATGCAGAACACCTGGGTGATACTGCTGCTGTTTGATGCTAATAGTGTCACATACTTGCTTGAAACTGCTCGAATAGGTGGGGTGATTTAGACATGTGGAATAAAAATGACATATAGGATTTAAGTAAGAATATCTTGTATATCAGTGTTGCTTAATCTGAGTTTGTAGGTGCTAGTTGTTACTTGTCCAGCCGATTTCTTACGGCTTTGTTGAACGCTTATTGTTCACACTAGCTTTCTGCCAAAGAAAATGGAGTGTTTGGTGGGATCTTTTTGACAACAGTGTTTTGGAAATAATTAAGATGTTTTAATTAAAAAAAAAAGAGTTCCCTTCAATGTAAGAAAGTTTAACTATTTAGGTGTTTTTCTTATTTTTAGCGCCGGCTTCGTCATCTTCGGAATATCGCTGCACGTAACATAATCAATAAGAATGGTTATCGCCTCTTGGATACGTACTTCACTCTTCACTTGTGTGATAACACCAAGATATACAAAGGTAAACCAGGCTTTCTATCAAATTTTGTACTAGTTAATCTTTGAATTCTCGTGTTACGAATTCTCTGTCCATTTTTACCTTGACAACCTGCTGCCATTATTTGCATCATGTGTACTACCAGCGGAGAAGAGCTCTTTAGTTTCCTGAACTTTAGAGAAGCTTTCAGTGTTAGCAGGCAAGGATCAGTCTCTTTTTGTTGTTGCTCTTCTCTCCCCCAACCAATAACTTAAGAAACTTGATAACTTCCAGGAGCACAGAAAAACTTTTGGAGCCATAGTTGCTTTGTGTGGGCGAGAGTGCTCCACTCTGTGCATACCAATTATTTTACAGACCATAAACCAGCACTTACTATTATCAAAGTTTTCGAAAAATAAAAGTGTAAGCCAATGACAAGAGGCATCCAGGCATCTGTTCTGCTTTTGATAATTGTGTTTGAGTGCTAGATCTCATTTCTCTAATTCTTTGCTTTCCACTACAATGTATTGTTCTTCAGTGTGGAGATAAAAATATATGTTTTATATTTTATTATTAAAATATATTATGCTCCTTTTGTTATGATCGACAGTGGGAGCTTTGCAGACGAGTTTTGGTTTTCTCCTAATTTTTATTTTCATCTAGTGTAGTTGAACCTTGCTTTTTTTAAGGTTACTGTTTCAGAAAGGTAGGAACATGTAACTTGAGCTTGCTACCTGGCCTTTCTTGTGGTGGTTGGTTGGTAACTGATCAGTATTTCTGCAGTGTTTGGTGTATGGGACTGTTCCGCACTCTGTCAAGTTATCTTTGGACACCAGTAGACTGAGGGATATGGTACAAAATCTGTATTCTAGCCTCCAGAGCCGCCTACCTAAAGACTTTAGGCTCTTATTTTGGCTGGGAAAGCCAAGCTCCATGTGTCAGCAGTTGCTTATTTCAATTTAAATACAGGGTTCTTGGCACCTTCTTGAGGTAGTTTGGCTGTTCACTTTCTAAGCATCTGGAGCAGGTCACCTTTGCTCTTCAGGAAAGCTGTGCAATTAGTTTATCCCTGCTGCACTCCTCCAAGAAGATGTCGTGTGACAAACTAGTCACTTTCCAAACGTCATCCAAATGTTGTAAAATACTGGGACATGTTCTTTCCCCAGAAATCAAAACCTCAGTAAATCTTGAGGATTATCTTGGGTATAAAGATGAAATGCTAAATTTAAATAATGACTTCTAATAATTAAGTGTGAACGAGTACTTTTAGTCAAAAGCATGACTGCATTTTGAAATCTCTCTCATGACTCTGTTACTGATAATTTACACCCACTAGCATTTGTCTTTCATGAGTGTTACTTATTTTAGCCTTTTGTATTTCAAATACTAAGATTTCTATCACTCTTTAATCTAAAGGTGTGTTTTTTACCCATTTTTCTGTAGAATTTTACAAGAGTGAGGTGATCAAGAATTCTCTGGTAAGTTATTTTAATATGGAAAAGCTTTCTTTTCAAAATTGTGTTGTTACTGCAGTATATTGATTTATCTGCTGAATACCATAACTGTTAAATGTCTGTTTCCACTTTTCAGTTCTGTTAGCTCAGTTCCACTCTTCTCCTCCTTTTCGTGTTCTTTTCACAAGGGCTGGAATAGTGAGTTATAGTAGAAATGGAAATTCATTTTAACAGCTGTGGAGCTGTAATCTATTGGTACTTCTGCAGATAGGACCGAACACTCCAAGGGCAGGGCATTTTAATGTGAAAAGTGTTCAGTGCTCAGGTTAAGCTTGACAATATATTTCAATTTTAAATACAGAGCACACCAAATAGGCAGATAATATTAGGTGGATTTTTACTGCTTTAACTTCTTTCAGGATCTGAGAATTGTATGCATCATAATGTAAGTTTTTTTGTAGGTCATCTATTTTTTTTACTGTTCCTGCTGGTGTTAGCAACAGAAGTAGCTGCTTTGATTTAAACATCTGCAAATTGCTTATTCAAGGAGCACTTGTATATTACTTTACTGGGTGCACAGATTCATTAGAAGCTCATGCTGTGTCATTTAGTAATCTTGGCGTAAAAGCAGAGGCCTTGCTTGCAGCACCCCAAATAAAGGGAGAGTCAAACAGTCTTAGGACTTTAAGATTTTGACTTCTGCCTATTTCAAAATAAGGAAAAGGAATAACAGAAACAGAATCTCACCAAAGGAAATACGAGATGGAATGACAAAAATCTAAATAAAATATGTCTTGAGCAAATTCTGTACATCATCCATGGGTATTTTGATTACTCTTGTGTCTGAACAGCTGCCAAATATCCCTTCTCCTTAGGAAAACTTAATTAATACGTTCCTTCTGTAATACTTATGGGGTAACTTTGCCCTCCCTTCTTTTCAAAGGTGTCTTATTCTAAATTGCCTAATACCAGTTCAGAGATGCTTGGCCTGTTCTGAGCTGCTTAAGCACTAGATAGTGCTTTCCTGCCTTTTGTTTTGGAGGAGCTGCCATTTCTGTGTGCAGGAGAGGAAGGAGATATACGTGTGTGTGTATATATATATAAAATAAATATAAAAAGACTTTCCCATTTCTGCATTTGGGTACCCTATGGAAGTCCTAAAGTTGGTATCTGGCTCTTGGCACTAGTAGTGTTGGATTGATTTGGTTTGGTTGTAGCTTGGGCCAATTACAACAGTTTCCATAAATTTTGAATTGAAATGTTATCAGAGGTGAGTCCAAGTTCTTGGAATGTCTTATGTTTGCAAATCTGAGTTCTAGTGGAAGAAGTCTTTGCAGTTTAGCCGAATGTGTGCTGCTTCTGTAAAGCTGAGATGCAAGTCTGATCTCTTGGAATGAAGAGGAGCTCTTCATGACATTGTTTGAGGATTGCCATCAGCATCAGTCAAGGAGGAGAAGAATGTGAACAAACCTGTCAGTCAATTATGCAAACTTAATTATTGGGGAATAGATCAGTGTTTCAAATGTGACTTTTGCAATGTAAGCTATGCTTTCGTTTTCAGAAGATGAATTATAACTTGGAAAAGAATGTCACTTCCACTTTTAAAGTTCTTGATTTGGCTAAACTGAATTAGTAAATTCTGAAATAAATTCTTCCCCATCTTGTAATGGAAGGAAGCAGAGCCCACTCTGAGTTTCTGAAGTGCTTTACAGCATGTGGCTTTTAACCCAGCAATTCTTTCTGGGAAACAGAATAAGGAAGCACAGAGCCTGTTGGTGTTCATTATTCTTACGGTTTTTTAATCTTTAACATGGACTTTGCTACTTTCTGAATTGCGAATTTTAGGACTACTTTCAGCTTGTTTGAATTGTTTTTATCCCTCTTTGAATACCTACAGAATCCGACATGGAGGAGTCTGGACTTTGGAATAATGCCTGATCGTCTTGATACCTCTGTCTCTTGCTTCGTTGTGAGGATCTGGGGTGGCAAGAAGGAGCACTTTCAGCTTTTGATTGAATGGAAAGTCAATCTAGATGGGTTAAAGTACTTGGGCCAGCAGGTGATGTGAAATTTTTTTTACTCAACTTTTTACTTAAGAAAACAAAACACTTGAATGAAGAAATATGTAGAATGCTAAGAAAGGAAATGAATGCATTTGAAGGGTGAATTTTAAAGTTTGCAGAAATTCACGTTAGCTTACTTCAGAGCTTTAAATCTTGACTAGCTGAATATTTTAAGTTACTGTTGTTGACTGAGCCTCTAAAATGATACTGCTCGCACTTGGTGTTTGAAATTGCAGTGTCTCGATTCAAAGAAATACTGATATGGTTGCACATATAGTTAAATTAATACAGGTCATAATGTTTGTGTATACTATGAGAATGGATTAAAACTGTAATAATGACATCCCAGCAGAGATCTTCAGTCCAGGGTGCTTACTCTGTAAGATCTGTTTTAGTTCTGGTATTTGTCTCTTGCTAGTAGCCTTTTGAAAAAGGTGAAAAATTAGGAGTTTTCTGTATTGTGGAATTTATAGTAAAAGTAGTATTTATGTGATATGGGTTTCTTTTTGAGCTAAAACCACCAAAAAATATGGTGCCTTTTGTATTAAATAGCTTGTCCTAATTCTAGTGGACACTTTTTGATTGATTAATTGATAGGATCTATTCTAAATAGATCATAGCTTGTTTCTCACTTTAAAACTTTTTTTAATTGGGATGTTTCAAAGCTTGGGAAGAAAGCTGTATAGGGAGTGACTGCGCTTGCTTCACATGGTACATTGATCCTGGCTGGCATCCCCTCTGGAGTGATCAAATGGGAGAGAATCAGAGGAGCAAAAGTGAGGAAAAACTCTTGGGTTGAGATACAGACAGTTTAGTAACTGAAAGAAAAAAAAAAATAAAAAAAAGGGGAGAGAACAACACACAAGTGATGGGAAGGATAGTCACCAACCACCTCCCACCAGCAGGCTGATGCCCAACTAGCTGTCACCAGCCGCCTTGCAAAGCCTGAACACTGTTTTTTACTGCTGAGCATGTTTTATGATATGGAATATCCCTTCAGTCGGTTCATGTCAGCCATCTGAGCTGTGTCCCCTCCCAAGCTTTTGCACACCCCTAGCCTACTCGCTGCGGGGGCAGAGTGAGAAACAGAGGAGGACTTGATGCTGTGCAAGCACCATACAGCACCAGTTAAAGCACTGGGGTGTTACCAACACTTAGTCGTGCATCTAAAACACGGCACCATAAGGACTGCTGTGAAGAAAATTAATTCCACCACAGCTAAACCCAATATGTTTCATCCTGTAGCTCTCTTTCCATTTGTTTTTACTGGACAGAAGAAATGGCTCCCTAAATAATATGCTCTAGTGCATGGTTTTATTTGAAATAATATTCTTTACATTAATAGCAGGATATTAGCTGTAATACCGAACACTAATTTTATGTCTACTATGACCACAAAAGGCCAATTTTGAGTACAATTTTAGGTAATATCATGTGAAAGCTAATTACTCTTGAGATGTAATCTCTTTGATTAGTTTCCTGGTCTCTTAGTTATTTTTGTCAGCTTGAAATGCAGCAATAGGAAAGATGCTCTGGCCAGTGTTTAGATTTCAGGATAGAACGGCTGAACATAATGACTATTATTAAAGCTGTGAAGCAAATTAATTTTCTATAGTTAAATTCAGTTTTCTCTTAGGTTCCATGTGTGTCTAGAATTACAGATGCTGAAAAACTGCATTTCACTGTCAAACAGAGCAATTTATGCTAGTTTGCACTGTAAACTCGTAGTAAATGGACCATAAAATGATTTATTTTCTTCTCTTCTTACAGATACATGCAAGAAACCCAAATGAGATTATTTTTGGTCTCAATGATGGTTATTATGGAGCTTCATTTGAACAGAAGGTAAGGGTATCTCATATTTCTTTTCTGGCTTGTTAGTACTGGTGACAAGCTGAAATTCAACTTCTAAACTTAAATTTTCACACTTGGATGCTCGGAACGTTAAAATGCTTAGTTTTGAGAAGAAATGCTTTTTTGACATGACAGATGAGAACTATTATCTCGCCTCTTTTGCGTGGACATCTGAGCTGTTCTGGGAAGACTTACAGCATAGCATTTTAAATCCAAAGAAAACCTGGTTACTGAAAATAAACCTTGAGTTGATTCTTTGAGGCAGACATTTCATTCCAGTGTAGAACATACTGAAAATGGTGTGGCTGGTAAGACTCATTTTCATGGCAAACGTGAAAGCACATTGAGGTTTTATTACCAGTCTTAAAACCAGAAATTGTAACTCTTACATGGGAAGCTGTTTACTTGCTCTATGTGCAACTGTTTCACCGCCTTTTATTTATTTTTTTTCCAAAAAAAGGGACAAGGTGACCACGTGTGCACACCTCTCTGGCTATGTATCTGCAAGCCTTCAAACGTATTTGATATTTTGGTCATTCTTCAAAATGTAGACAGGTTTGGTACACAGCGTAGGCTCCACTTCCTGGTGCTGTTAGGTCAGTTTTCCTGAAGCAGGATGCAATTCTAGTTTTTCATGACTTAAGTATCTGGCCCTGAATTTGATCATGGTAACCCTATCCTCTTTCCTGATTGCTGTCAGGACTTGCTCCCTAGCTCAGAAGGTTTAAAAGTGCATCTTGGTTTTGGTTCTTGTACGTGATGCTCTGTAGCTAGGTTCCAAATACAGTTGTAGCCTATGTAGAGCACAAATAATCTCCTTTGTCCTTCCTTGTAATTTACTCGCTTCTTCCTGGCTGCAGGAACTAGAAATTTATTTTATCACCCTTCTCTGTAGCTTCCAATGGCTTTCTTTCTCAGTTCCTGGACTTAGATCTCTTTTTGTGTAGCAGACACCTTCTATATTTAAGTGACTCACCCGCCGTTCAAACCAAACTCATTGGCACAAGCAAACTGTTCCTTTTACCTTGAGAAGCTGTGTGCACCTAATCGGTAGTTCTACACCTTGTTGGCCTCGCTGGATATTCTAAATATTATACAGCCCCATTTTGGTGTTTATGCTAAGGATTATTTGTGAAGCAGCACCTGAAATCTTCTGTAGGAAGGGAATTTTGGTGTGTGGCTCTGGTCCTGTGGCAGCTGCAATACCTTTTCTGCTTGGTTGGGTGGGTATTTTGTGATCTCTTGGAGTGCTTTTTTTCTTGGTGGTGATGGGTCTTCATAATACTTCAAGACATCTTAGTCATAAGCTTCAATTTTTGAGATAATACATGGACAGAATAGCAGTTTTAGCTTCTTTGCCCTGGCACATATGAAACTTCATTATGAAAACAGATCCTTAAAATACCATTTTGCAAGTCTAATGAAAACCTTGTGCACAAAGACACTTCAGTCAGTGTTGAAAGTGTCCTCTATTTTTGCACATCTCAGTATGGACAAAGTTAAGGGATGGTACTCTTTATTTTTTTTTCTCCCCATTGCTCCAGAAATATCCTTGTTACTTTAATAATTCTTTGGACTATGAATTAATTGTAAAAGTAGATTTATGGAGTCTTAAATAAAGTACATTTTATTAGTGTATTAAATGTCTTTGTCATTAATTAAAGACCATTTATGAGCCAAAATAAGAAAATTGTTGGAAGCTGACTAAACCATTCTGGCAATATTTCATGAACTCAGTTTCAAAACACACCGTAGATGTACTTCTGAGCATTGCTGGAACTAAATAAAAGTTCCCATTTTCTGTCCTGTGAACTCACCTGGGATAAACTGAAGTAGGGACAGGAGCATTAGGGACTGTCACAACTATTGTTTTTATTGATGACAATTGTAGATTTATTGATTAAACATGTATCTTCCTGGTAGACAATACCAGCAAGAGGAACATGCTCAAATAGAAATATTGTTTAATTCAAGATTGAAGCACTGAGAGCTTACAGCTTCCCTAAGTAATGCATTTTAGCTGCTGCTTTAGAGCCTTCAAGCCCCCTTACATATAACGTAACCTTCAAAATGTGGGTTTGTGCTCAAAATCCTTGCTTTATAAGAAGCTTCTGTATTTAGGTATTTGGAATTTTACCTTTCTTCTATCTCTTCTGTCCAGCAGCAATTTGGCGGTTGCTGATATGCAGTGAAAAAATGAACATTTTCTTTGGGTGATGTTCTTATTCAAGTTGCAGTTTTCTTGTTGTAATGGATGTTTAGCTCAGGGCAAGAAAAAAAGTTGGGAAATATGCAACAAAGGCTTTTGAAATCTTGCCTTCTGAGCCCTGAAGGGTATTAGTGCTTTACTGTAGGTGTCAGACAGTGCTCATGTAACTCAGCGTTTCCAGCTTTTCTTCTCGGTGTAAATACAAATGTGCGCTGCCAATACAGCTGCTTTTGTCTTAACTACTTTTTGACTTCCACATAATTGTACCTCCAGCTTCTGGGTTTTTTTAATTATCATTTTGTAGTAAATGATGCAGTAATTTTGCCATTTTTTTTCAGGATTCTGCTTCTTTCATCACAACCATGTCCAATTGATTTTCCTGTTCTTTTCTGGCACGTGACTGCTGACGCACATGTTCCTGGCTTAGTTTCATCCTCTCTGGTAATCATACAGTGAAACTCTCATTTGGATTTGCTTGAACGGGACCAATAGTTGAATAAGATAGATGTGAACTTCAGAGATTTTTATTTTTTTTTTTAAGCTGTCAGCGTGGTTTTAAAGTATTCCCAATCCTTCAGCAATTTTCTGAATCTGCTTGGTTTTGTCTGAGACTGCGTGCTTGTGTGTGAAACCACTTTTTACCCAGGTTCAACAAAATCAATTCTGGGTGCTGTACTGGCTTTCCTAAAACCAGGTTTCTCCTTCTCTGGTTTCCTCGATGCCTTCTGAGCTTTCAGATTTTCTTTCAACCATGTTATGCTTGATGCTGCTGACCGATAAGACTTGCCCTTGCTCTTGCAGCGATTTCTTTTCAGAAAGTGCATTTAGGGAAGCAAGTACAGCTTGTAGTTAATGACTAGCTTTCTGTCGTCTCCTTAAAGAAATAAAACCAGAACTAGTCCATACAGCTCTCCATTACTTGGAACATTTGACTGTGGTCAGGAGTATGGGGGAAGAGAAGAATAAGTTATATTCTTCAGGAATACTGAATTGTAGCTACTTTTTCAACTGTCAAGCAGGAAACACCCTTATCTTTATAAAGCTGCATCTCTACAGTATGTGGTCTCCATCAATGCAGGTAGAGTCTTTCCCTGAATATGCTTTTTTCTTTTTTTTTTAACAGCTAGATCCTGACCACTTTGCACAAGCACAGCCTTTTTGTGTGTTGATGAATACACGTGCCTGTATCTAATAAATGCTGTGGCAGAGAAGTAGACAAACTCCCCTTTCAAAGGGCAAACTTCTTTAATAGCTACCTCTGAAACCCCTCCACTGCATGTTCGGCAAGTTCCCTCAGGGTAGAACAGCTTGTCTAGACCGCTCGGTGTCTGACTCGTTGGGAATTTCCTTTCAACACCCTGTAGTACAGGGGAAAAAGGCTAAAATATGCCACTACTCCAAATTCTTTCCCTTCTGAAACTGGTTATTCTAGGCCACCCCACTTTTCTCTAAAAAAATTTTGCGCTTCTGCTTTCTGAAGGCGGTGTTTCTTGAAACGAAATAAACTTCATGATGTAAAATATTTGGTGATGCTGGTAGTTGTGTGTTTTCAGTTTCCCACCATCCTAGTTCACTGAGGCATCAAGATATCTTTATTTTGGGATTTTTTTTAAGAGTTACTCATATAGATTTTAGCATGTAGGATCCAGCATCTTGAGAATGGAAGCAAGGAGCTGAGACAACTCCTGATGTGGTGCCTCTGTTGCAATACAGTGCATAAAGTAGTGTACAGATCTCACGATTATTTAGGTGGAACCTTATTTTTGGTGGAAACGAATGTCTGCTGCACGGCTTGTGGATGACACAGTTGTGTCAGTAGATGTCGACGTGTGACTCTGCATTTCAACGTCTATATGGAACGCCGAGTAGAACTGTATCACTGTCGGAAAATTAACCGATCATGTGTCCCAGCTGGGGCTACTTCGTACACTAAAATAAATGCCTTTTTTCCTACAATTCATAAAGTTTCTGATGATACTGCCAGGTGGTTTGACCTACTTACAGTTCACTTTATCATGTGAGGAAACACATGAATGCCTGAGTTTGTGGTGTTTTTAGGAATGTGTGTGACTGTGCCTGATACGGAAAAGCTCGGTGTCTGACCTTTGCAGCGTGAAGAATTGCTCTTTGTTACTTTTTGATGCCTCTTGTGCAGAATGTACACTTTGGTCTCTTAAGAATGACATAAGGGGTTTTTTGGTGACTTTCAGATGCTTGTTCGCATCATTCGAAACTGAGATTGCTTTAATCTTTTAAACGTGTTACAGGATGGGTAAAAAATCTTTATCTGGTGGTCTCGTACATCTCTGGCACATTACTGAGTAGGCTCTCAGATCTGAAGCTGAAGAATGGCGGTACTGTAAATTGCATCCTTCAGTATTTCTGTACATAAAACTTGTGCAGTAATGGATTATAAAGTTCAACAAAACTCACTCCATGTCTAGAACACTGAGGTGTTTAAAGTCATTAACATCTTTAGGTACGTGCTGTTGTAGGCTAGACTTGATGTTATTACCACCTTAAATTGTTTCTACCTACCGTACATAAAACTGTATGAAAAGAGATGTAAAATACCAAAAGTGCATGCTTTTAGTCAAGATGGAAAAATTTTTGATTCTTAAATTAACATTCTTTCTTTGCCTTAAGGATCACTCAGGTACCCTGAAGAATAGTCTTCTCCAGGTGGATCAGAACTGTGTTCGTAACTCTTATGATGTCTTCTCTTTGCTTAGGTAAGGTTTTTTGAGAATATTCTGTAGAGCTATTGTAACTTTAGTGTGTGTGGAAGGAGCCTTTCCAAATTAAAACAAAAACCCTTCTGGACTGAAATGTGCAAAGGAGATATCTAGGTAGTGCCGATTTATTGCTGGTAGCAAGGAGAAGGGACTTGATGGATGTTCCTTGGTGGTCTCCAGGCTTCTGCCACGTGGACATTTGGGTATCCTGAGCTAGAGCACTATGCTGGAGCTAGCCCGTGGACTTGCCTTGTGAATGTTGAAACATGGAGCTGCTTTGCTGGAGAGTTTCCATGAAAAGCCCCTAGTTTGTTCTCCTCAACAAAAATAAAATTTATTTAAATAAATTAGAGCAATGAAAAAAAAAAAAGCAACTTGACAAAACTTAACTTGGTAGAATGATGCTGTGATTGGAACAAAACTATGCACCTAAGTGTGTGTTTTTTTTGATATTTTGTTTTCTGATATTTTGTTTTGTTTTCAAATGTTGAACCCCTGAATTCAGTGTACCTTTTGCATAATTCTCCCGTGTAACCCAGAAAAGAGGCACCTCATGGTCAGGACCCAGTTACTCCAGCATGTGTATTGTATAAGAAAGGTACGGTGACTGCACTTTTGCGTAGTTATTTAAGTGTCTCTGGTGGTGAAAATGGTGAAAACCACAAAATGCTAGTGTGAAGGTAAACAAGAAGGCCTTTCAGGTGTGCTTTAATTATAATTGTTCAATATTTAGCTGTGGGGAAATGTAATAGAGGTTTTAAACACTGTAAGTAGGTTGGTTTTGAGGAATTTAAAAGGCATTTTACAAGGCAGGTTGATAACTTCAGTTCTGCAGTAATAGCAGTAGATGTGCTAGAAAGGAAACCCGTGAAAAAGAAATGTTTAATATGCTTTCAAAAGTCTGGAAAAATGCATTTGGTTTTTTATCAGTTGTAAAAGTTGCATCCATTTGATAGTGTGAACAGTAGGTGTCACTGTTGCCTGCATGAAGTGTTACCTCTGTATTCTATAGCGAAGAAGGGGGTCAGGAATGTTAACACGAGGTTGCTTATTCAGAAGTTTTTGTTTTATAAGCTCTCTTAAAATTTAAATGTGCTGTTTCTTGATTCTTTAAAGCATATTTAAACTAAAAGCTGCTTTCTTCTGTACTTTTAGTGGAAAACAACCAGGGGGTGTGTTGTGAAGTTCTGGTTATGTTCTGGCTAGAAGAGAACTCTTATACTACCTAACATTGTCTCTGTTAAATAAAAGGGAGAAAATGTGTGCTGGTCATCCTGATTGCTTTGTTCACGTGGTTTTTTTTGGTTTTTTTTTTTCTTCTCACATTTCCTTTGCACTTCTTTAATATGAAGCACACTCCAGAAAAAACACTATTATACCAGCTGGTCATGAACTTGACCAACTGGAGCCCTGTCTAATCTGAACTGTGGTCCTTCTGAAAGTGTCTGAGTGTCTGTCATAAATCTGACAAGAAATGAGGATGTCCACTTTGATAAAGCTCACCTTGCTGGATGCTCACCAGTGCTGTTTTGAAACCTGATTACTGGAGCCGTGGGCTTTGCTTGGGAAGGTGAGAGTCCAGGCACTGTCTCTTCCAGTTTCTAGCATGCTGTTGGGTGTAGCTCCTCTTTAGCTGTGCCTCTGAGCTAAACCATCCTCCTTTCTTCTGGCTTTGTCCTAAAAGGAGCGGTTCTTTTCCAGGTGTCAGCACCACGCTTGCTGCTGGTTATGTTTCAGTGGATTCTACAATCCCCAGCAAGGAGTGTATATTGCATTGTTTAGTTCCAGCAAAAGTTAGGAGTTGTAATTTGTGTCCATACCTAGGTGCTATTTTTGCTCCTTTCCTTCCTACCTGGGAAAGTTCTTTGGGAGCTGAGGCAAAGTCTTCTGTGTAGCCCTGAATCCTTTCTGTTCCCTCTCATGTTAACTCTGCTTTTTTTTATAGAGATGCTTTCTCTACTGCTGCTTACCTTTGATCAAAAGACAGGTGATAGCATTTCTTTATTTTAAAATAATCTCTAATCTCTTTTTGTCAGGTGTCCTTTTTCTCTTACCAGGCAGTCTGGTTTGCTGCCACCTCCAGGAGCCCAGGCTTGCATAACTAGCCCGTGAACTCTTTCCAAAGAGTTCGGTGAGAGTATGTTGCACTCTCAACCGGAAGAAAGACATGGGCATAATTAGAGTTGTCATTTGTTGGACAGGACGTGTACTTTGGGAGGAAATGAACTGCTGTCTGCCTGCTTCTGTCCATTGGCTATAAAGAGAACAGGGAGGTGTCTACGCCATAAAGGTTTGCATGCGGTCACGTAAATCCCACATTTTGAAGACTTTCTCATGGTACAATATTTGTCTCTAGTGAAAATTCAGAAGCTGCACGTGTGGTTTCCTAATGTTTTCACGAGACACATGACTACAAAGAACAGCTTGTACTGGCTTTGCTTAAACTTCTCAAAAAAGGAAGCAAGTCCTGGTGATGGTGGTATCTGCATCCCAGTTATTTTGGTGGTACCGTGCTGCCAGGTGTGGCATAACCACTGTGATCAGCTGTACAGGGTGAAAATCGATGGAGAGAGCAGGTTCTGGCTCAACCCTTAACTCTTGAAAATGAGAACTTCTGTGGCTGGTCTCTATCTGCTCTCAAACCTGCTTTTTTGGGGAAGAAATTATTTTTTTTAACTTCTCAGAAGAAGTGAAAGGCAAAACTTTTGAATCGTAGAATCATGAAGGTTGGAAAAAGATCTCAAGGATCATCAAGTTCAACCGTCAACCCAACCCCACCCAACCCACTAACCCATGTCCCCAAGCACCACATCCACACGTTTCTTGACCCCCTCCAGGGATGGTGACTCCACCACTGCCCTGGGCAGCCTGTTCCAATGCCTGAGCACTCTTTCAGTGAAGAAACAAAGCTTGTGAATAAGCCTTAATGAAAAGCACGTGCTTGGCTCAAATTATGTGGATTAAAAATTAATTAGGAGTGCCAGAGTGCGTGAACAGTAGAAAATTTTTTAAAGTTTTGGATTAAAATAGTGCCTGTATGCTCAGATGCGTAATTACATGGATTTACAAGTTAATTAAGGAGGAGGAAAAGTTTAAATACCCACACAGCTTAGCTTTGCACAAGAAAGTTCTCAGCATATCTGTAGCTCGTGAACCTTTTTGTTTTGGGGCAGGGACAAGATCCTCAGGAAAACATAGTGGTGCTAATAAGTTATTCATGCCATATGGAAATGACGAATGTTCTTCCAGCCATCTGTTTTAAGAAGGCTAACTAACAAAAATTAACCACCCCAACTGGAAAGCTAAAATTTGGAGGTTTTTGTCCTTTGGCTGTATCTTCAGATTTCCTGCGAAGAGGTCACTTAAAGGCTTTCTAAATATTATGTAGCTGGTAGTAATAGGTTATACAGCAACACGTTTCACCTTTCACATAACACTCAGGATGGGCCAGATACATCTGAGGTCATGTTCTGGACGTGTCTCTATAATCAAGCTCTCGGCACGTTTGCAACACGAATGGGAATAGGATTATATTTAGTATTCTCTTAGTTTTCTCTCCTTTCTTTTCTTTAAACTTTGAAAAATAGACATTTCAGTATTAAGCGGTGTTGGGAAGATGGGATAGGTTGGCAATCACTAAAGTAAGGGCTTAAAATCCCGTATGTTAAAATTTTTCTTCAGTTCCTAAATACAAAACGTCGTATCTTGTATTCTGCAACAGCTTTTCATGGTATCGTGACACTTAAAACAATTGGTCTGCTAATAGCTTTTGTGCCTCTAAATGTGTGAGTGCCTGCAATCCCCCCAAAGTCTGCCTGGAGACAAAAAGTGCTACAAGAACTAGCGAAACCTGCTACTTCAATGTTTTTTGCTTCTTATATACTATTCCTATTCTCCAGTCCAAACCTCTTTCTCTATGGTTTAACCATTCTTTCAGCAGATGGGATGGGCTATTTGGCCAGGTAGTAGCACAAATTGAAACCATTTATGTTGTATTGTTGTTTAAAAATATTATATTTTGAAAACAACAGCAACAAAATCTGATAATGGTAGAATTTCAGTGCTGGAGATGAGTAAATGACCAGCTCCAGGCAACTGCTGTAATTTTTCTAATATCTAACCTGGCTGAAGTTGATTTAAATAATACTTCTAGGTGTCAAAGGACTTCCTCTGTGACTGTCAGGTGTGCATCTGATCTAGTGGATTAAATCTTAAAAACTAGAGCAACTCCAGAGACCACACAGGCTGTGCCTTCATTAAACACAACAAGTTCTTGCAGTTCTGATGATAAGCAAATAAATCTGGCTGCAGTGCCCTGGACAGGTAAACATGACTTTTCAAACCAGGTCATAACACTGAGCCAACAATTCCCTTGTGTTTTACGTCACAGCAAGGGTGGACCAGGTTCAGTGACATCAAAAGATTACCAGTGACAAGACACTGCTCTGTGGAAGAACAGGGCTCAAGTTATCATAGGATCATGGAATGGTTTGGGTGGGAAGGGACCTTTAAAGCTCATCTCGTTCCACCCCCCTGCCATGGGCAGGGACCCCTCCCACTAGCCCAGGTTGCCCAAAGCCTCATCCAGCCTGGCCTTGAACCCCTCCAGGGATGGGGCATCCACAGCTTCTCTGGGCAACCTGGGCCACTGCCTCACCCCCCGCACAGGAAAACATTTCTTCCTCACATCTCATCTCCATCTCCCCTCTTGCAGCTTCAACCCCTTCCCCCTCGTCCTGTCCCTGCACCCCCTGATCCAGAGCCCCCCCATCTCTCCTGTAGCCCCCTTTCAGCACTGGAAGGTGCTGGAAGGTCTCCCCGGAGCCTTCTCTTCTCCAGGCTGCACACCCCCAACTCTCTCAGCCTGTCCTCGCACGGGAGCTGCTCCAGCCCTCGCACCATCTCCGTGGCTCCTCTGGCCCTGCTCCAACAGCACTGAAGAGATATTATTTTAAGAACACAAATGTCAGTAGTGTTTGTCTGCAGTCTGAAACTTT